TAAAACGCATAAGGGCTAAACTTATTACACAGAAAAGGTTAAAACTTATTTTCTAATGCAAACTTGGTACCCGAGACAAGTGATAGCCAGTACACATTATGACGTCATATTATGACGTCATTGCTCTCTACTACACAAAGTTATAAAGAACATCAACAAAAAAACTCCGGCGCAAGGGCATACCCTAATTATTTTTACAGAAACAGTGTCTAATTAGAAGCAGAATATTCCAAGGATTTGTGATATTGCTGCACAAATGTCGACAGATCAATTGTTTATTTACTATTTGTAAAGCTTTGAGTTGAAACGGGGTAAAAATTCACAGTCCAGCGTAAGTTTCCTCAAATTTTTATCAAACGAGAAAGTGCATAGGATTTGTGCAGCACTTTTATTAATCTTTAGAATATTCTTCGCTGTATTATACATTATTTACTTTAAATTAAATAGGGTATGCCCTTGCGCCAAAGCCATTTGTTGATGTGTTTTATTACTTTGAGTACTAAAGAACAATGACGTCATAATATGACGTCATAATATGCATTAGCTATAACATGCCTTGGGAACTAAGTATGTATAAGAAAATGAAATTAACCTTTCTCTGTATAATAGATATACCTTTTTTGGCATTTTTATTAGCTCATTTGCATAGAAACGCCTATACCTAGCCTTAATTCACCTGCGTAATTTTTGTTAAATATTTGAAACGACAGCAGTTAAATCGGAATATCACTTCCCTCTGGTGAAGATTATTAATACGAAAAATATGCTCAAAGGGGATTTTTTCCATATTTTATCTTCACACTTAACCCATTCACACTTAACTCATTCTTGCGTTGACTCGTTATGTGAATGCATGCTGAATAAATATTTTTAAAGTGTGAAATTGAAAAACTAAATGATCATGCACTACAACAGTCTCTAATCATGTTTATGTAAATTCAAGTAATTTTGTAAATTCAGTGTGGACATAGTCTTCATTTAATATATACCAAGAAATTCTTTTCTAAATATTTTAAATCCGACGATATTCGTGAATTTAATTATAGGAATTATGGATACCGAATAGAAGCAAACTGTTCGATTCCCTAATTGATATAAGCTAGCATCAGTTTCAATTTCCCAGCTTAGACATCAGTAGAAGGATAATGCTGAGGCAAAGCAAGTCTTCTACAAAACATCATCAATCTGTCTGATTCCAATGTCACCACTGATTTAAATGTAATGGTCATCAAAGGTTTCACAACCTTAAACTATCCAGTCTATTAGCGCAGTTGCTTGGTCACTGAATTTTTAAGTACAACCATTACTCTACAATATCCACTGACTTAGGTACTACAGAAGCAATATTTGCACTAAATTGTCTTGTATCACAAGTACTCCAAACTAAGAAACGATTTTACTGTTGTTTTGTTGATTATAAGAAGGCCTTTGACTCTATCATTAGGGAAAATTATATAGAAAATTGAAGTATTACGGTATACAAGGGAAGCTACTTAAAATCATTTGTTCCATGTATTCTAGAATTAGAACCTATGTAAAATCTCCTGATCGTATTTCTAATTTCTTTGTAAGTCATGTTGGTCTTTTACAAGGAGAAGTTTTATCTCCCATGCTGTTTGTATTATACGTTAATGATCTTGAAAATGAGTTCATTAAACAAGCTAGGTAATACGCCTACTGAATTTGCAACTATTAAATATTTATCTTTTAATGTATGCAGATGAAAAACTATTGCTTTCAGAATCAATCAATGAATTGCAAAGCATGTTAAATACGCTACAATTATATACACATAATAAATAATAATATATGAAACATTTGTAGAGCGCCCTATTTAATAAAAATTACTCTAAGGCGCTTAACAATAAGATTATAGTAAAATAAATATACAAGATAGTAATTAAAGATTAAAAAGCAGTCTTAAAAAGTGTGTTTTTAGCATTTCTTAAAAAAAAAAATCCACACTTCGTGCCACTTTTATGCATGCTGGAAGTTCATTCCATAAACTGGCGGCAGCCCAACTAAAAGTCCGTTCTCCAAAAGTATTAGTTCGAACTTTTGGAAACTACAAGTCTTATTGATGTTTCCGATCTTAGTGATCGGGCTGGCTTATAAACTTCAACAAGTTCTTGCAGATATGAAGGGGCACATCCAAACAGGGTGCAGTAGGTAAGCACCAGTATCTTAAATTGTGGTCGATACTGGACCGGAAGCCAGTGCAGCTCCGCAAGGACGGGAGAAATATGATTCCGTTTTGATGTCCTCGAGACAAATCTTGCCGCAGTATTCTGCACCTTCTGTAAGCGGTCCAAGGTGGTCCTGTTGATTCCAAACAGATGAGATTTGGCATAATCGAGCCCTTGATGTAACTTGTGCATTGGCAAGAGTCTTACATGCATCCGTTGTTATTAGATGGCGAATTTGTCCAATATTACTGATATGAAAGTAACATGTCTTCACAATAGATGACACATGACTCTCAAATGTCAGATGGGAATCGAAATAAACACCAAGGTTCTTGACGAGCAATGCAACAGAAATGTCATTTTCTCCAGCTTTAAGATGGTGTAGTGGAATGTTTGCTGCGTTGTGTTTGGAAGAGAAGACAATTAGCTCCGTTTTGTCCCGGTTATGTTTCAACAGGTTAGTAGCCATCCATGAACTAGTATCTGCTATACACGCTTCTAATCTTGAAAAATAGTTATTGGTCTTATAACGAGGTAAAACATATGAGTGGGGTCTAGATGTAAATGTATCAAAAACTAAAGTTGTTGTTTTTAGAAATGGTGGGAAAGTCCGCACAAACGAGAAATGGCTTTCTAACGGTGAAAAAGTACAAATTACAATACTTTAAACTAATTCATTTTTGATTTGAGAGCAAACATAGCATTAACATTTGAACATTTTCAGCTTCTTTTGAAACCGCTCAACATTTTACAATCGACGGTTGACGATTACACTAGGACAATATACGAGAGCTCTTTTGCGATATAAATATTTAGCTTAACAGTTAATTAAACGATAATAATGGGCCATTTCAAAGCACATATTACATTGTTTAGGAAGGGAACGACAACCACCATATCCTTAACCCTCTCCTATCCCATCTTAACTCTTTACAACTTACTGAACTGTGACGCAACATACACTTAATGTTCACGTCATAGAAATATGACATTACCTTTTCTCCGCAAGCACTTAATAGCACGGTACAAGTTTCCCTAAAGTTTAGCGTTAATAATTAAGACGTAATATTTTAAGTGGATTATAACTTTTCTTGTTTTATGAGATTCTAGCAAGTATAAAATAGAAGGGAATTGACATTAAATTGAAGATTAAATGTACTTTTGAAAGTGCGTGAAAAATGCGTGATTGCGGGGAAACGGTATATGCGTGATTTTGCGTTAGAAATAGGAAATGGTATATGCGTTAAAATGTGTGACTGCGGGAAAGGGGGTTAACCAATTCCTGTCAAGTTTTCCTTCCGGAATGTTTTTTCTTGCTTATTTGATTCCTTCAGAAAATGAGATTGAAAGGAGATACTATCTCCACGAATACGGTATTTTAAGTTATGTTATTCTGCCTCCCATCATCTCTTGTGTTGATTACATACAGGTAAATCATGTTAGTGCCCCTTTCGCTATACCTATGACCACTAGTAAGGTTTTCTTATCTATTATCAATTTCGTACATCCGTACATAAGGCAGAAACAAAATAACTTCTTTAAACATGAATTACATACGTATTTTTCATATTATACGAGCATAAATCATTATCACAATACATGTGTTATATCTTCATCCATTCATTAACTTTAAAATTGAAAAGGTGACACAAACAATGCGCTTTTGCAGAAAAGGCGAACATGACGATCATAAATGGCAATATTTATCTACAGAAGTAAATATATTAAGATAATATAAACAAAGAAAAATGTAAACAATTTTAACAAAAAATTTCTTGACCTTATAATTGACCTTATACACTAAGAAGGTCTTGAAAATCACTAAAGTATTACGAGTTTCTTAACCCCCAATATCTATTAACTTCCTTCCTGAAATGTTCAAAATCAATTTTACTATTTCACGGAAATACATCTTACTTCTCCGATATCATAATGCGTATGTTTTTTAATACATGTTCAAGATTAAAAGAAAGGATTACTGCACTTAAGGACATGCGAAAATTGGGACAAAATAAACTTTAAAAACAAGCATTTTTCTTTAATTTGTAGGAATAGCCAACATCTAATCTACAACTTTATGTAATTACATTAAATAAAAGTATGTATTTACGAAGTACGAAGCTATTTTCAAAGGCGGGGCATCACGGTTTCTTGAATATCCGTACGATAATGAGTACGTCCACATTTTCACTAACTTTATACATAGTCAGCGTATGTTTGTCTATTGTTCTCCGTTTAACAGTAGTTGTATATTTGCATTAATAATGCTGTGTCAAAAGGAGATTAAAAGACAAACATGCGCTTATTGTTGAAAGGAGAAAAACTTTTCAGAACAGACGCTGAATATCCTAAAAAATTTTGAACTTCTAAGGGATCACATGGCAAAGTTGAATTAGGTGTTTTAGGAATCAGTTGACGTTGCGATGATGTGTATGCTGCAGAAGAAGTCTAATCATATACTTCTGTGAATTCTGACGTTCATATTGATTCCCTTTCATTTTATTCTATGTTTTAGTGCAATCCAACTCCCTGTCTTTTTCGACACAATCTATGTCCCCAGCTGTATTTCGGTTTAGATAGGTTTCACTGTACGGTATTTTCTTTTTCATTTGCTCATAATACTTAATATGTCTTTTAAAATAATGTAAAATAAAATGGAAAGTTTTGATTAAATGTATGGTCTATCTTGTTCACTGATCAATTTTTAATTTATGTAGTTATATCTCAAATCTATGTCTTTTCTGATTTTCGAAAACTGGTTTCGTTGGATAATTATTTGAACAAATTTGGTAATTATCTTGTCTTTATAAAATTTTATTTTCTTCTCTTGAGATTTTGTTTCTCAGCATCCACTACGCAGCCTAGTGCTGTGTAGTGGCTTATCAGTTCTCCCCAAACAAGGTCACATTGAAGCAGCTTCTTGTTTCCTACAATAGTCATGAATAATGTAAGGCGTATTACAATGACATACAGCGATTAAGCTTTACGTGTGGTTTTATATTAAATCAAGTAAAATTACTTTTCACGTTTTTATGAAATAATTTTTTCCCTCTCGTCAGATACATTAATAAAAGCAATGATACTATTCAATTATGGCTCAAAACTTTTTATCTTCATAGACAGTGAATGAATAATGAATTCTGGAAAACCATGATTTTTACCTATGATTATAATGCCTTTTCTGGCACGGGTAAGAGCAACATTGATTTGGTGTTTATCTGTAATAAAACCTAGGTTTTTCTTGCACCAGCCTAGTGTAGGATATGATTCAATCCTGTAATCTGGAAGTGATCTGACAGTGCTGAAAATCACATAGTCCCACTCACCACCTGGCAATGGAAAAGAAGAGGAATTCTAATTGTGAAATAATGAAATTTGCTTTTTGTCACAAAATTTAACAAACAACATACCTTGACTAGATACAACCGTATTAACTTTGTAATTAATGAATCTTTTCTCCGACAGAGCCTGTCGTATCGCAAAACACTGTGCATTGTACTGCGACATAACTTTAATGTTATGTGTCTGTATTCCATTATGAGACATCAGAAAATCATAAACTTTAACCTATTAAAGCAAGACAAATAAATCATTTTCATCTTATGTTCCACTAGAATTTTGATTTTTTCTTTAAGTGTATAGTAATTTGATTTATACAACTAAAGATTTTGAATTGTAACAAATTCAGGGAGCTGGAAAGATGAAATTAAATTCAAATTGATTATAGGAGCGGTTGGAAGAAATATCTTACCACGTGTTCCACTTCTGCCTTGTTGCTCCTCGACTGCTGATTTCCCTCTTCTGTAGATACCGCTAGGCATTCTTCTTCTCCTTCTATGTGACAAAACAGGAGAGGGATATGTGGATTTCTCCATATTTGTAAAGGTTCCTTGACTTTATATTTTCCGGAAGGTCCGGTTTTAAGTTTTCCCTTGTAAAACTGTTTTGATGGAAATTCGCAAATCTTTTCATTCTAATAAATGAAATACGGATTTATTAGCTCTGATTGCCTTTCTACATGCATAGTACGTATAAATATTCAATTAACTCAGATGAAAAAATATCCCTACCATTCTGTATTGGATGTCTAAAAACACAGCATTGTCAGCATATCGCTCAAAGAGGGATGTTGAAAGTCCCAATTTAGCCGCTTCTTCACAAATGATGATTGGTTGAAGTTGTTTATGGTCACCAATAAGAACGACTTGGTCTGGTTTTGCAGCAATAATTGGAGCCATGGTTTCTGGTTCAGTGCACATGCCTGCCTCATCAATTATGAGCTGAAATATTTTATTTTTTGTGGCTTTAAGAAATTTTGCATTTGTTGCTACGGCAGTTGTGCAAAAGATAACGTCATAATGTTTAAGCTCCTCCTCTGTCGCCTTTGAGAGTAACTTTTTATATTCAATAACTTTTTCTGGGTCAATACAGGTACCATCTGGATTTTCCCTGAAAAGTTTATCAAACTGTCTAAGTTCTTCAGCGAATTCTTTATCCTTTACTCGAATCAAGTTATGGAGTGACACTTCTTCGAGATCAAAATCCGGTCGATTGTCTTTGCATGAGGTTTGATTTATGTAATCTCTACCGGGAATTGGGTATACGGTACTTTCTATGGAACTTCCATACATTCTCACCATTTTTGGGGAACGATCTCTTAAATGAGTTCTTATCCATCCTACATTGGAAGGAAAAAATCACCACTTTTAATAGGAAGTATGTATTTATTGAATTAATATTTTTATGACTATTAGCTTGTTGAATTAATAATACAGGTGATGAAATTATCATATCAATACATCAATCAATACTATCAATACATACGTGCTACTAAATCAACAGACTTATTTGAAGGTCCGCAGTAAACAACTTGCTTATGGTCACCACCGTTTTCTCGATACTTCAGATTGATGTCCGTAAACAACAATATGAGCTTAATTCCAGTCAAGGTCTTGCCTGTACCTATTACAATAAATATTAATTGCAAACAACAGGCAAATTTGCTACAGATCTCGCCTTAATGAAGTATTCCTAGACTGAACCAAACCCTTTATTGATGACCAATCAAAGCTAAATGATCTGATGCAGGCATTCTTAATTTATAAAATGCTTGCGTATTACTTTGACATAATATTTTATTTAGTTGGTGTTATCAAAAAACTCGCGAGTCTACTTTCATTTGCATTAGCTATACTGTAAAATCACTTTCGTGGGGTCAAATTTTCGTGGTTTGAGGAAAAGATGTCTCTTCGAAGGGATTTGATTTCGTGGTTGAAGAAGAAACGTCAACTTGTATATTTCGTTGGGGACATAAACTCGTGGGTAACCAAACAACGAAAATTAAACACCCTCGAAAATTCTTGATTTTACAATATTAGAAGTTGAACACATTTCTTTGAATAAATTAAATAAAACATGATCAGGTAAATACTTACCAGGAGGACCTTGAATGAGAGTAAATCTAGATGAAAGGGCCTTCTTTATGGCCTCTAACTGCTTTTCATTGTTCGGTTGTAAAGATTCGTGCATCACATCAGGCTTTGTTTCTTTTGCCAATCTCACATGGGCGTCGTCTAAAAAAATCGTGTTTTTATAAATTTCTTAATGTAAGCCTTTGCAATTTCTATGTAAGCCCCCCCCCCCCCCCCCAAAAAAAATTAAAATCTAGCAGTTGTTCTTCTAAAGTAAATTATTTACCTAGAGATTGAAATTTTTCTCTTAAAGCTATTGACTTAGCAAGTTGCCCTGCGTTTTCTAATCCTTTAAAGGCATCTTCAATATTCCTGAAAATACAGAATATTTTTTAAACTCTAGATTTATCTGTTAATCAATCATTTACCTGAAATTAAAATTAACGAATTTTAGTGACTTACTTGTCTGAATCAGACATTTGAAGTATTTCAACAGTGCACACTGGACTGCTCTCACCCTCCATCGAAGGGGCTAGTTTAGGACTGTCTTTGTGCAATTTAAAGTGTACTTTAACATCTCCACTGTTTTTACCCCTTTGAAAAATCTTTGTCTCTCCATGACCAACCCATATTCTTCGCTCATTTGGTGAACTTGCTATACTTGCCTGCAAAGGAATCCCTTTTATCAATTCACATCGGATGCAAATAAAATCCGTTTGGTATGAGACACACTTTTCACTCTCCTTTTCAATGTGCCATCTGAAGTCTATATCTCTCTGCAGACAAAATGACCTTAGAAGTATGAACGAACCATCGTAAATTTCACCAGATCCATGAAAGTTAACGCGCAAATCGTTTATGACAATTGATATGGACTTTGTTGCATTGGTTACGGATTCCATTCGAAATATGTTCAGCCATCTTTGAATATATTCAGAAGATGTCATCCTTCGGTTGCCTGCATGTCTAGTGGCGTATGAAGAGAAACATTGCACTGGATCAGACATATGTTGTACGCAGCACTTCACATTTTTTGTATTTTCTATGAGGTGAATAACTGGCATAAGCATTCCTCCATATTGTTCAGCTCCCATTTGAATAGGAATGATTTGGGCAGAGCTAAAAGTCAAACTGAAATCAGTGTATTGTTTTCCAATGATACCATCTATCGTTTCAGAACTTACATCGGAATGTGTACCTTGGCACTCAATAGCACTTGGTAAAACTTCTTTTTCAAAGAATATATTCTCATCCAGAGAACTCATATTGTTTCTGATGAGAGATTCTAACAACCGTTTCCATTTTAAGAGGGACATAAAAAGTACCCTTTGATGTGGATTGATTTTAACTGGCCCTCTTTTAGAATTTGACGCATTAGACGAAAATCCAAGTGATGAATACAAACGCTGTTGCCATGAAAGAGTCAATAAATGTTTTTTGTCTTTACTTTCCTCTACATCTGGTTTTGATTTCAGCTTTAGTAAATGATATTGAATTTCACCACATGATTTGGTTAATTCTCTTTGACCAGGAAAACAAACTAAAAGAGATTTTTCTGATGCTGATAAGACCAAGCTGTTTAATATAATTGGTTGTTGTTTAATTTGTTTTCCAAGGTGCATTAACCGACACTGTCTCTCAAATTCTCTGCTTCGGCTTCCATTGATTTTTTTGCACAACATTTCAACTTCTCTCTGAGAATAGGGAGACCCTTTGTTGTCAAGAAGGGCATGAACAAGACGATTCACAATCAGATCTGCATAACGCCGAATGGGAGACGTAAAATGAACGTACGGAGCAATTCCCAGAGAAAAATGTCCTTTCTCTTGAGATGATCCCGAACACTGATAACATGAAGTCTCTTGAAATGAGATCCATGACTGATATGCCATTGCTTGAAATGGGTGAAATTCATCGGTACCAATTAATCTCTGCATATTCTTAAAATTTTTCTCTCTACAATTTGATTCGATTTTGTTCCATATATGTTTTTGTACTGGTAGTTGTTGCAATAATTTGTCTTCAGAAATGTTTTCGAAAGACAATGTTCTATTTGTTGGAAGTTTTTGATCCTGAAGCGATAGAACGAATTCTGCAATGACAGGGTAACTTTCTAACCATTCATTGATTTTTGAAGATGAAGGTTCACTTTGTATTCTAAGAGGAACACAGTCTGGAAACCTTTCAATCAATGCCTGGCCTATGGTTTGATTTGCAAGAATCATACATTCTTCTACAATTATGTGAGCATCAAGACTCTCTAAGTAAGAGTTATCGCTGTCTTTGAATGGTGATTCAAATGGAAAGGAAAATATTTTATTTTTCAAGCGCCTTAAACGAATTTGCTTGGTTATACAATGCAAGTTTCGAAATTCTTGCATGAACTCTTCGTTTTCAGTTGTTCTTGACAACAGTTGTTGAACTTCTTGATACGTAAAACGTCGTCTGGATTCAATTAAAGTGCGTTCAATCTTTTTTCCCAAGACATTTCCATATACGTCCATTTTGTAAAAAATTGAAAGTGTTTTTCGCTTCTTTTGAGGAAGAAGACTACAGATATCTGTCGCCAAAGGCTCAGGGAGCATATGATATGGTGGACTGTTATTACCCGGATAACACGAATTTGATCTCTCTTGTGCCTCTCGATCAATAGGATCATCCTTCTTTACAACACTGCCAACATCAGCAATATGAACACCGATTTCGAATTCTGTTTCTGATATTTTTCGTATGCTAAGTGCATCATCTAAGTCTTGAGAGCCTTTTCCATCGATTGTGAAAACAGACAGACTTTCTGAAAAGTCTATCCGTTGTTCATTTTTGTTCTGATCGGACATTTGCTGTATTATTTTTTCTACCTCGTTGACTGTATTTTTCTGGTAGAGTACAGATATATTGTTTCTCAAACAAAGCAGTCTGAGTGAGGTTTTTATATCGCATTTTCCATCAAACATTCTGATGACAGCTCCAAGTGGATAGAGATCATTCCAAGCAATGAAACACACAAGAAAAATATATCCTTTTCGTTTTGATTGATCGATTGATTTTAGCCTATCAAATATAAGATCCTTTCCTCTTTTGTCATACTTATAAATCTGAACTTGAGACTCTCTTTCCTTCTTCGAATTTAGAATATGAATTTTGGGAACTGTTTTGCAAAGCGGCTTCATATGGTACATTTGATATCGATCAAGGGTACACACAAAGACAGGATGTTTAGGCAATGTTTCATTTCTTTTGGTAATTCCAATGACTTTTCCAAATGTTTTGTTCAAAGCATTTTCAGAACTCTTCGTAGGTTGCACTGAACTGATAGGTAGTTTTCTGGGATTTTTCAAAATTTCAACAACAACCTGGTCTTGATTAAAGGCTTTCCCGCATTTTGATCGTCCTGAAATTTCTATCTCAAGTTCATCAACCAAGGAAAAACAAAGTGCTTTGTGAGGATTGAAAATTTGCAATTTACAATGTTTGTAGGTATCAGGAAAGTTTTTGCACAGCTCAAGGCATTCCTCTTTGCTGCGCATTTCGTGGTAAAATGTCCTATTTTTGACATGCCTTAGTTTACTTACACAACCTTCAGAAAGTTCAAGACCATTTCTTAACAGGTTTTCATCAATACTTTCATTTTGGTTTTGAGAGCTGTAGAATTGGCGCGATTCTTCAAAAAAACTTTCATGCTGCGATTCTTCACCTTGTGATGACTTTCTAAATTCTTCTTGCGATGAACTTTCCTCATCAGAGGATTCAAAGTCCCAACCAAATTCCTCTAAATCTTCAGGAGTTAACATGTCAAATTCATCTTCAGAAAATCCTCCCGGGGTAGTCGTTTTTCTAGTGATCGGCCTATTAAATTTCGAGCGTGATTCAGCTTGTGACTTTGGATGTCGCTGATGTTGTTGAGAATTTCCTTCATCCGGTATTATTTTTTGTAGTCTATGTCTTCTCCTTCGGGGTTTTCCAATCGGCAGATCAAATTCTGTTACGTCTTTCCAGCTTTTGATGGAACTATTAACTTCAACAATTGCATTATGTACATCTTCAGCCTTGTTTTCCTCGCCCAATGGGTCAAACCTCCCACTATCTTGGCTTGTTTTATCTCTTCGTTTTGCTGCAAAAAATAATAAAAAATATATAGATAAATAAATTAAAAAGTTTTACTCGAGATAGGTGAGATTATTTGATAACAAATTGATGTCAAAAAGAGTTTTCCAAGAAAGGTCTTACGTCTGCTTCTTGATTTTTTCTTCTTTAATGATATGTTCGCTGATTTTCTTTGTTCTTGAGACTAAATTGTGTTGAATAAAAATAAGAGACCCATTGGCCTTACGGATCATCTGAGTATAATACACAATTTTTTTGTTCATCCACATGTGATATTTTTCCTTTTCTACCTTTTTGTGATCCTGATATCCCTAGCGTATTTCAACTTGGACCATAGAGAAATAAGTTGGAGGAAAATAAACCTACACTGCTTCATTATATCATCTTTATAATTATTTAACATTAAACCATGTTGTTGATGTTTAAAATATTTTTTAAATATTTTTAAAGCTTATAACTCCATCCAAACAAACCTCGAGTGAATTTAACAATCCATACCGTATTAATACAAATCTCTTTTCTGTTTAAACTTTCGGTAAGGCGTGACATTCTCGGCGATACATAATTAGCGTCTCTTAAATAGTGACCTAGATTCTCATTGGTTGCCGGATTAGCTCATCAGTACTGAAAGAGCAAGGGCCAATTAGCATTTTTTTGGAACTGTGAGTTTCTGAAAAATCGAAACTGCTCAGTTTTTGTTGACTACAGTATTTATCACTTGGACCCTTGGTGACAGTGCATCTATTAAACATGACGTAATTTTCCGCATGGTCAATGCATTATGTCGTCATGAAATGCGTCATTTTCTGTTTCATAAGATCATAAAGCATGTTTTAATTTTGGATCAAGGGCTGTGCTCATATTTTTATTCTTTGCTGAATGTAGTCAAATATGCCTGTTTTCTGCAAATTTCAAGAACATTACATTTCCACAAAGCCTGTTTTCCAATACCTGAATTCTCAAAAAGAAATTTTGTTATAGGAACTTAGAGAGTTAAGTCTCTACATTATTATGATATATGAAATGGGACAGAGGGTGATAGTCAATTAATTGATACAAGAAAAGGGCCGTTTCATGCATAAAGGGAACCTTGCTCTTTACACAGCTTTTCATTCACGGGTGAAACACACATCGAATAAAAATGAGTCAGAGTCAACGAGTGACGCAAGGAACCAATTACATCGTTTCTTACAGTAAAAAGGTGTGGCTTATGTCATCTCATTGTTTGTTAACAAGAATCTAAAGTTGCTAATGTTATTAATTTCTTAACCAGTGAGAATCTAGGTCACCATTTGAGAGACGCTAATTATGTATCGCCGAGAATGTCATGTCTTACTGCAAGTTTAAGCAGAAAAGAGATTTGTACCAATTAGGATTGTAGATTTTCAGCATGTAAAAAAATGACTCACGATCGCATTCATTCACAAACAGCGCGGAGTTTCACGAAAGTGACGGAGTTAGGGTAGTGACGGAGTGAAGGGGTTTGACGACACCTAAAGTGGTTTTAATTTTATGGCGCTAGTCCACTTAAATTTTGATAAATCCTCGTATAGATGGGAATAATAGATCTTAAGTTTTGCTTTTATCAAAATTGAATACAATGACATTAAAACTAGGAACTTCATTCTTCAGAGAATTATAAAAGCTCGTTCAACGTTGTTTTTCTTTTTCGGGGGGGGGGGGGGGCAACGATTTCAACATCCTATGTGCTCAATAATAATAATAAGTAGTAAAAATAAAATAAATCGTAAAAAATAAAAAAAAAAAGTTAATAATAAACAAAGTTAAATAAAAAAGAAAAATAATTGTTTGAAATGAAATATGACGATAACGAACAGTATTCAATCTCGAAAGTCCAATGAAACGATACAAATTTGGAGCAGAGCAAACACGTACCTCAAAATTTAGAGGTGGGATCAGGTGCCATGGAGGAGTGAGCATCCCCTGCCGACCGGTCACACCCGCCGTGTGCTCCTTGTCATGATCAAAAAAAAAAAAAAAAAAAAAAAAAAACCGGAAAAATCCGTCAACAGTTCAGTCTATAATTAAAGGCTTAACAATTAGTATGAAAAAGGTCAGTCAGCATTTGACTCAATGATAAGTTGTATGTGCTGACAAGGTCATTGTATCGACCGTAAAACTTGCGAAATGATGACTTCAAACGAGACTGTTGATATCCTTGATTCATAAACTTGTTTGTCAATAGCTTGCCTCGTTTTAGAAATTGATCATACGTAGAGCTACTCCAGCATGCTAGAGGTTCATGGCGAGATACTTTTGACTTGGCGCCGCGTAACTTCTAGCATCCATTGTAAAAATTCTCGCCGCTGAGACCTCAAGTAGAAATAAATTGTTTAATTAAAAATTCAGGCTTTAAACATTAACGAATGACACAAAACAATAAAATATTCACTATTTGCGATAAAACTTGTAATACACACAAAACAATGTTAATCTCTCGTATTAGCGATAAATCCATTATTTTTAAAATCGAAGCAGAAATTAAAACAAGTCGTCTGTTTGAAATTCTGGAATGGAATGCAGAAAATCTGACGAAACGAAACTAGTTTTCCGCTATGAAATCACTGAAATTTTTGTTTTCTGACTAGCAATCCGCAAAATTAACATGAGGTCAAATCGAAAGTAATTCTGGTGACAAATTGAAATAATGACGATTTTGATTAATGAACAATAATGCACACTGAATAAAGTGGATTTCAAGATTTCTTGTGACTTTTACACCCCATGTTAACATGTAGGTACCTGAGAATTAATTGTTTCCAGTTTATTTAACGCATAATATGTTCCGCCCAAAATCTCAGGCGGAACGACCCAATTAGAAAATGGCTTTCGGATGTAAGAGTCCAAGGTATATAAGGAGCGTAGGGACGTTAACCGAGGCTCTTACTTGTAGGAGTAACGTAGAGCATGCTCTTGCGTATCGAGTCAACTGAGAGACATAAACCCCATTAACAGGGTTCTCCATGAGCTGTTTTACTGTGTCGGCCCCGACACAGTAAAATTTTCTCCGAAACAGTAACGATTCAAACTTTATTCGTGCGACACAGTAAAAATTTTGCGACACAGTAAGATCTGTGATAACCAGAAAATAAGATCATAAATTCTCTCTAACTGAAACTTTAATCAAACAAATCTACCGTCTTTCAATTTTTAAGGCAAAGCACTTATATAATTATCTTCTAATTAGGGCACTTTGTCTTGCTTCACCATGCATGAATCAATTATCCCCATGCCTATGCTGAACTTTACGCATGAAGGAAGAAAGACAAATTAATTGTTTTCACGCTTCCATGTGACCGTATAATTGCTAGTTGCATTTTTAATTATTTCAAAATTTCAAAATTTATTATAAATATATGTCTTTATACTTCAGAACCACTGGCCCGTTTGACAAAGCTAACTTAGGACTAAGTTGTATCTTAAGAAAGAACTTTTTCCTAAGTTCATTACTTATCCGTTTCACAAACCTCGTCTTATCTTAGGATATTCCAAAGTTATGTCGTAACTTTAATGGCCGGTTGCGTACCTATGGCTCAGATAAGTACAGCTCAGCCGCTGATCCGCGGATCACGTAAGCCGGGTTTAAACCCCAGTTGAGTCGGGTTTACTTGAGACGTACTTCTGTTGCACGCTATAAAACTGAGTAAGGCTTACCTAATCTTGACTTACTCAAATAAAAATGTTGAAGGCTAGTAAGTTTCCTAATTTTACAGCACTTTAAAACAAATTTTAATATAACTGGTGAAATTTCGAAAGGATATATTTAAAAACAAAGAGATATATTGATATATATATTGATGGTAAATTGTTAATTAAAAATGAAAAAAAAAATTGCAATACAATTCAAACCACGGGATCTATCATCAAAATTCAAACCACAAGAAAATAAGAAATCGCAAACAGAATACACTTTTGCAAAAGACTGAAGAAAGGAAAAACTGAGAGGGGGTTTTGGGAATAGGTAATTTATTTATTACTTTTAATACTTAATTAATTTAATACCAAAACGTAAGACAGGGGTAAATAATGAAGAAACAATGTATAGATTTGACTTTTTAATTTAAAATCAAATGATATCTTTTCTGTAGATATCAAGCCATTAGTACTTAGTTGTTCATAAAGTTTAGTTTGACATACAACTAATGAAACACAGATATTATTTGGGCCTTATTCATATAGCTAGCAATCGTGAAACATCATTCATTCCGGTACAAGTATTAATAAATGTGAGTTTGTTGTGATGTTCTCACTGATAAGGCTCGTAGGAAGCATTTTCAGATAGGAGGGGGTGTGGGACACAAACAAACATTTTCAGTTAAGGGGGGAGCTACCCAAGTATCCTTGTCAAGCAAAATAAAAAAAACGTCATCAGACATTATTGTAAATTGGTTATTCTAAATTGTTCAAATCATGACCCCCGGGGGTAGGGCGGGGCCACAATAGGTATATTAAAAGGGGGGAATCTGGTAAAGAACAGCATGGCCAAAGTTACTCAGGTGAGCGATGTGGCCCATGGGCCTCTTGTTTTAAATCGTACTTATATTTTTAAGGTGTGTGTAAGTGGGGGGGGGGGGGGTTTACAGTTGATTTGTCTTATACATGTAGTACATTGTATGTACATTATTATATGGATACATTCTAAGCGTTTTAAATATCCATTAATCTTTTTTTTTTATTATTATGCATGACCATACAATTTGTGTAACAAATAAGTGATTCAAAAAATTGTGTGAATATGCTTTTGTAATTATAATGAATAGTGGTTCAGTTGCGAATTTGATCGCGAAAATACCGCGAATATTAGTGGTTTACGTAAAGTCTGAAACACAGTAAAATTTCAAATGATGGAGAACCCTCGCCATCTGCAGGTGATAAGGGTATATTGCAACATAAGCAAGGGAAGTTGACGATTGAAAAGTTGAAGTCATCACGTACCTGTAATCCTTCATTTTATAGTAGAAAGCAAAAGTAAGTCACAGGTTACTAATTTTATCCTATTTCATTGACCACGGAAGTAGTGCTAGTTTAGGAATAGAAGTTTTTTCATGCGGATGTATATGGGGTGGAATGGATTAATTCTAGGGCATAGGTGGAAAGAAGTGGGTCTGGAAAAAAAAATCTTCTGTTGGAAGGTCTTTTTCATCTGGGAAAAATGATTTTCAAACACTCAAGTATCCTTGTTAGGCAAGTTTGGTTGAAATTTGTTCAGTGGTTCTGAAGTAAAAAAATGTTTTACAAAACAACAGGAAACAGAAAGCACTATATAATCTGAGTAACTCAGATGAACTAAAAAGAAACATAAAATGGTAAATAATCTTTCTAAAGGATATTAATCATTTAACATTGCACTTCATACATGTAATAAGTAAATAAATACCTTTGCAAAGTCAAAAGCATATGTATCTTTTAACCACTCTTCATCTGGTTCGCTGTCGCTTTCTCGGGCCTTTTGGCAAAGTAATCTTGACTCCAATTTCTTCATATTTATGTAAAAAAAAATTTTCACACACACAGTAAAAATTAACGATTTGTTACATTATTATGAAATAGACATATTAGCATTTATCATAAAAAAGTGTTTCTTACATGTAAATATACCTCGTCATTTGCCTCCTGTGCCTTTTGAATAGCTAATTCCACTTTCCCAACTTTTTCCAGTGCGTGGGCCCAGAGGGTTAAAAGTGTTAAAAATTCGGGATATTGTTGGAAATCTCTCCGCACTGGAGAAAGAACATCGTTACATTTATCTTATTTGGGGTGAGCAATGTTTTAATACAAAAATAGTATGTACGCCATCTTCAGAAGCAAATTGTTCTTCGTCATGTTGAAGCAAAATTATCAAGTAGTATACAAATAACACATCTTATAAATTTGAATGTTTCCTAAACACCTATTAATCCTTTGATAAATTCACATAGGTATGTAATCAATCTCTTCTGGAAAACGACATACATTTAACATATTTTTTCTATTTATTCATACCCCCCCCCCCTTTTTACCGAGAAAGAATGGCACTTTGAATATCACTACAGTTCTTTTATATGGGGATAATAAAATGTCTTGTATTTAAGAAAAAATATTTTACGGTTATTAAAATAACTAACCAAATCCCCTTTATGCAGGTAAAACTGTGATCCTACTTACGGTTCATGCACATTCTGCAAACCAATTCACCTAAATTCTGTTTCAAAAATAAAATTTTCTGTGAACCAAGCAAGTAAAAATGACAAAATATTCAACAATTCTTTATGCATAATTTTCGCATATATGTGTATATTCAGGTTCAGACAAAGACAAAGGCGGGGGGGGGGGGGGGGCAAAAATCAATTACACTGCTTTGAGAATTATAAAAACAATCTAGAGAAGTGAAGTTTTAAACACATTATGAAAAAGATGTTTAAAGATATTGTCTATTCAACCAGTATACTGAGTATAAATACTGAACTTAAAATGTGGATTTATTTGCTCCTTTGTATTATATAATTTCCATTTTTATTGTAAAATTTCCCACTAGTCAAGGTCATTTTATTTATTTTCTTCCCAGTCAACATTTCTGAGGACATATTATTTATTTCCATCTGGCGTCCCCTATTATGCACGCAAATAGTTTGCTTTGAGCACCCGGAACATCTCGCTCGTTTTCAGCACGATACAGGTTAAAACTTGATCAAATGAAATCCTTCGTAACGAAACAAAATAAACAATGCTCGGATACAATAGACATGAAAAAAAATTAACGAATATAGATAATTTTTAAGAAATTATACAATACAAATAAGAATTATGCAATACAAATGGAAAATTATCCAATACAAATGGAAAATTATACAATATAAATGAAAAAGATCAAAAATTGCAACGTTTGACATGCCATACATACATGTATAAACTACTTGATATTTCTTTTGATAACCACTTCTTTACCTCTTCAAGAAGTTTCCAGCCACTGCAAACAAAAAATTTAAGCAATTCTCTTCGTATGATTTCTGTGGCGGTTTGATTTCCGGCATTCAGACCCAGCATATGGTTGTAGGAAGTCCTTAACTCGGCCATGCAGTGCCAAACTATCGGATGTTCTACTACAGAGTACTCGTTTATGACTTCTTGTATTTCTCTCAGCAACCTGAGTTTTTTCTTTGGAAGTAAACATGAATTTCAACATTTACAACAACAAAAAATTATGTCAAAGACAAACAAACTAATTAAGCAGCTTAAAGCTTAGACAGCTAGCTATTGTTTTAGATCAAATAACACATTCATCTTCAGTTTATTACCATTCTATTCCCTCTTAATACACGAAATCCGTTCATACAGCCTACGACTTTTTTTGTTGAATCATAACATAAGGATTAATCCAGCACACGAAAAATAATGTTGCAATGCAGAATTCTCATATACATGTACATGTATTAATATTACAGACACTTGTTTCTGAATAAATTACTTAACCCATACTTTAATTATAACACAAGGTATCTAACTCCGATTTACATAGAGCACCCCCTTCCCAGAATGGCAGTCATTTACACTTTCAGACAAAATGTACTGGCAAACTGTTTATTACCATTATCTACTTCTATCTACAAAACCATTATAAAACATGCTTGTCTTTATATTTCTTTTATCTCCATCATATTCTGCTCGCCGAAAGGAAAATTCGTCTCACACAATGAAATGGTATGTACTTATCTCGGGTAGAGAGCAAAATTAAATTTAAAAATTAGTGGGTTTAAAAATTCATTTCCAATGTTTAAATTTTGCAGTGAATACATAAAATTTGTTAACGTATTTATTTCTTTAACACGTTACGTTTTTTTTCTGATGTAAATTTAGAAACAGATTTTTAGCCAATTAAAATCCAAGAACACATTTCGCCGGAGATTAGTACATATAACTTCACGGTGTGAGAAGAATTTTCCAGCTGGACTGGGTTGCTCAAAACCTTGGTTAGCGCTAACCGCTGGTTAAATCTCTTATCCAGCGGTTAACTTTTAACCATTGGTTAAATTCTGTTGCTCAGAATTTATCCACTGGTTAACTTTGCTATCAAATTGTTAAATGTAGGTAATTTACTCGCATTGTATTTACCATGGTAGCCATTTTTTTGGTTGACAAGTGGACAAATGTACTGCATTATGGGATACTAACCACTGAGCAACAGAATTTAACCAATGGTTAAAAGTTAACCGCTGGATAAGAGATTTAACCAGCGGTTAGCGCTAACCAAGGTTTTGAGCAACCCAGTCCAGGACTGGGTTGCTCAAAACATTAGTTAATTTTGACCACTGGGTAAGTTAGCCGGTGGTTAAATTCTATATCCACTGGTCAACTAACCACTGGTTAAATATTTGTTGCTCAAAATAAAATTAGCCTCTGGTTAGATAACCACTGGTTAAATGAGTAAAAAATGAGAAGTTATAATGTTACAACTGTATTGAAGAAGCGGAGAAACACCCATAGATGTACCAGTTATCAACACTAAACAAACGGTTTAAGTCACAAAAAGTCATGAAAGCACATGTTTGGCTAAAAATGCTGTATATTCAAGTGGAGGATCAATAAGAACAGTGGTTAAATATTGGCCAAAGTTAGCCATTCCACAGAGGTGCTGTTAAGTCTCTTATCCAGTGGATAAGCATGGCTACCTAGTTATTGTTTGTTGTAGATTTTGGAGGATAACAAAAGAAACAAAGTCTTGTATACATTGTAATCATGAATTTAATGTTGAGGAGTACTTAAACAAAGACACATTCATTTATAAGTCAAGCAGAAATGGCTTTGCAGCAAAATAGAAGAGGGGATTACAACACTGTCAGAGATATGATAGGATTTTATGTCTTCAGCATCAGCAAGAATGTATTGAATGGGTTCTTTCAAGGCTAAAATTGTTCGTATTGCAAAGGATTTTATCAAGTGGCAATATCCTGTTGATAAAAAAAATTATGATAAATATATGTATGTAAAATGAATAAAATTGTCTGTCATTTGTATATAGGCTTACTAACGGATACAAATAAATTGATATATTAGTTTGGTAACCAACCATGAATTATTAAAATACATAAAAATAAATTGGGAATTGACCTCCCCCCACCCCTTCTCATCAAATGTCTTATTTAATTTTTTTTTTTTTTACAATTTTAATTATCATTTGCTTGAAAATAATTTTTTATTGGCCCCATTTCGTTAAGCGATGCTTCTTGCCTTCTGCATTAAATAAAGAGTGTTCTATTTCCTTTGAATTTACATTCATTTTGACTAGGTCCCACTGTGATTATAAATAATTAAAAATAATTATAGAAAATGATTTGCACATTTGATATTTACAGATATCTATATATACATGTAGTCCTTTATTTTCTCTAAATATTGATACTTATTAAAAGGTGTGATATTTATGTAATAAACTTTGGATAATGCATCAATGCATTTTAGTTACACAGTGTACGGGTACGGAGCGAAATGCCTTAGTGACAAACTCACTTTATCTATGTATTCGACCATGACATTTCTGTTATTTACAGAAGTGCAAATAGCAGACAAATAGACTACCAACTATCGGTGTTACAAAGACAGATATAAATGTGAAGAAAGTTTTTTTTCTTTGTAAGTGTTTGACTTAAAACGTTGAAGTGAGTTCCTTCTGGCAAGGCATTTAAAGCGAGAATGTAACCAGTGCGAATTTCCTCGGAAACATAGCAGACGACGTTTACATGGTGATAACAGGTAAAGGTGTTCAATAAGTTATTATTTGAGTTTGAAACGATGCAAATTGATGTACTTACCTTTTAAGTATAGCCAAGTATTGAATACGAATAATTCCGAAGAGATATATGGCGAGTCACTTTGCATTATCTTCGACACTAGATTAATGAGGGCCATGATGACCATCATCGGTCTTTACACAGCCAACTATCCACCTTGGCCGTGGTGCTAATTTTCCTATCAAAACCGCCCTATGTTCTTATTGATCCTCCACTTGAATATACAGCATTTTTAGCCAAACATGTGCTTTCATGACTTTTTGTGACTTAAACCGTTTGTTTAGTGTTGATAACTGGTACATCTATGGGTGTTTCTCCGCTTCTTCAATACAGTTGTAACATTATAACTTCTCATTTTTTACTCGCATTGTATTTACCATGGTAGCCATTTTTTTGGTTGACAAGTGGACAAATGTACTGCATTATGGGATACTAACCACTGGTTAAATCATTTAACCAGTGGTTATCTAACCAGAGGCTAATTTTATTTTGAGCAACAAATATTTAACCAGTGGTTAGTTGACCAGTGGATATAGAATTTAACCACCGGCTAACTTACCCAGTGGTCAAAATTAACTAATGTTTTGAGCAACCCAGTCCTGGGGTCATTAAATTTTGACATGACATAATTGAGACTTATTTCCTTTTCAAATGAGTCGTTCGAAACTTCGTCGAGCCTTTTTATTGTAAAGCACTAATATATGTATATTCTTGAAAATTACAGGACTAATTACCTTAGTACATGTATGAAACTGCAAGTGCGTTTGCGTAGACTGGAATTCTGGGGAATACTTAGACCAGAAGTTCTGAAGAAATTCACATAACTTGTATTCCCAGAGGGTGCTTTTCTTTTGAGCACACGCTCTGGTCAGTGTTAGACTGATAACAACTACCTCCATTTATAGACTGCTCTGTTCCCAGCGACAAAGTAAAATTGAACATAGATTGTTTTAATCGAAAGAGAAAGGAGGAAGTGCCCTGTATATAAGAAATTCATATAATGTTTTAGTAATTTCAAACGTATACAACGTGCAATTTTTGCGCATCAACTTTTCCATAGACTTTGGAATTTCGCCAAATTTCCGTCGTTTGTTTGTTGTTTAAAGTCCCTCTCGAGAATTTTTCACTCATAAGGAGAGGCCAACACTTTCCGGTGGAGGGCTGCAAATTTATACCTATACTCAGCACTCAGGCCCTGCTTGAGCAGTGAGATGTCTTTTTTGTGCCAACACCTACTGCGACACAGGACCTCGGTTTAACTTATCTCATATAAGGACCGGTCTCCACGTCCTGCAGTGGATTCAACGTAAGGATCAGCTCCTTACTCCGCGACTCCAGAGCAGACGCTCTAACCACTGCGCCACGCGGGAGACAAATTTCCGTCGTAAATGTGATGCATTAATCATGATAGTATATGAATATAGAATTTGGAATCTGGAATCATTGAAACAATGAAATGCTTTCTTTGTTTGCTGTCGTAGAAAAAAATACATAACCCGCGGAAGGGGGCTATGTAATTTTTTTCTGCAACGTTAATATCCATACTAACAAACAAAGAAAGATATTTTATTGTTTATATTTATGTCTTTATAAATAATCATCTAAAGTAGGATGAAGTAGGTTGGATATTGTATTTCTGAAATGTACGTAATTGTATGTTTCATTGATGGATTAGCCACTGATCAAGAAATCTTTACAGGTGGTATACATGTAATGGCGTTTACTGATTGATGAAGGACAATGGTTTCCTTAAGAAATGAAATCGATAAAATTCACAGGATGTAAATAAAATATAGTATATGATAATAGAATTTGGAATTTTCAATACAACATATCTTTTTACAAACATCTGTGTTTAATTGCATGTAGATATGTAAATAATACATACTGCCAGAGAAATACTTGAATCTGTCAAGACTCGTAACCAGACGTCGGTTGGATCCCTATTCTCGGAAGACAGCAGCTTTACTGAAAATTTATATTATGTAAACTATCATAAGTGAAGTGAAGTTATGTATTTTGGTCTCTGAAAGGACAAAATATATTTTAGTTAAGATTTTTTCCATACCTCTGTAAAAGCACTTAGTCCTTAGGAATGGATCACAAACCTGTTCAAATGTAAAAGAATAACGTTTTTATTAATATAAGGTTTTTATTTTAAATCCCATCAATTTTCAATAAACATGAAGATTCATTTACAAGATCTGTTTTATTTATTAGCACAGACCATTATTTTTTTTTCTGTCTTATCATTACGATTGAAAAAAAAATTTAATATTTAAGAAGAGAGGAAATTAAAAAAGAGGAGAATAAGGGTAATGATAAATTTGAAATCGAGGAGGGGAGAGGGTCCAATCCGGTCGTCTAGCAGAGTGCTATCATGATTTCAAGAAATCAGAATAAAATTCAATAAGTGGCATATAAAATAAGAACTCGAATTAAGTAACATTTCCAGAATTGACAACCAATTTTACTCATTTTCACTAGGAAATCCCCAATTCGTAACTCTGGATGACAGTTTCCTTCTTTACCTTCAATTAAAAAAATCCACTAACCACCCCACCCTTCCTTTCCAATTGCAAAAATACATTTGTTATGTTTTTTTAACGATGACTGAAGAAAATTAAAATAATTGGAACATTAATTGCAAGTTTTCCCCCTTATAAAACACGCTGAGATTAAAGTTCAAAGTAAAGTAAAATGTTCTCATCTCAGTACGTTTTTTTTTTACTGATAGAGTACTGCAAATTCCAAAATATACGCGAGGTATTAATTATCGCGTAATTTCGCGAGAAGCAACTCTCGAAATTAAATTACTCGTTTTTATTGTTATGGTTTTGAAATGCATGTCTAGATCAAACGTCTATTCGCGAATTATTGTTCTCGCGATTTGACATGTAACGGGCATTTCACGTTCTAAAGTACTCGCGAAAAATAAGGAATCTACAGTAATTTGGACATTGTGCCAAAATCAAATGGTACATTTAGTTTACCGTTTTTGGGTATTAACTTATGGGTGAATTAAAAAAAAATGACCACCAAACTGAATTTTTTTGGCAAAATTCAACTACTTATAACATATTTTTCACTTATATCATCATATTGCAAATGCATTCTAGTTTAAAATCCTGAAGTGGCAATAGAATAGACAATTGGATTAAAAAGTTTCAGAATTTTTATTAGTAAAATTTCTTTTGAAAAAAGAAAATATCATTACACCTTAAAAGACTTTCTAAAATACATAATCACAAGAAATTATAGTTTTTTATGCTTTAAAATGGTAAAAGGGGTATAAATGATTAAATCTAGACCTTGAATGAGTATCTTCTCTTGCACATGTGACAAAAAAAATTGGCTTTTTGATTGTTATTTTACATTATTTTTTCAATTCTGGTTTGAAAAGTTTTAATATGAAAAAAATATGAAGCAATAAAATTCCCCAAAATTCACTTTCTTGTCCGTTCAAGTCAATTCTTTAAATCTAAGCCAAAAAAGAATTGTTATATACGAGTTCTCTTACAAAAAATACTAGATTTTGAAGTGACCCTATGTTACATTATTGTGTTGCACTGCTGACATCTGATATGTATTTTATTTAACATTGTTTTAAAAATGATAACACACAATAACCCATTCTTACTTTGTAAACCAATTTGTCGTGTTGATATTTTTCATCGTTTACAGCAGGTTTCTTATATTTTGAAGACCTTAAAACATGATTATTTGCAAAGTGTAATATATATAAATTGTATTTAAAATATACGTGAAATGATGAAAACTACATGTATTCCCTGAATTGACTGTAAAATTTCTGTAATTTGTTGATAGACATAGTGTTTTGAACATCAAATAGCATCAAGCATTTTTTTTCAACTTAATTTTTAGTAAAGATAGTTAAAAAGCATCGGTAATTATGAAGCAGTTTTGTTGCACTCCTGACTGCAGTAAAGTTTAAAATTAAAACCACAGAACACAAAAATTCATAAAGTGTTGGCAACATCAAGTGGTAATAAAATTGTGCAATACTTATAGTCCAATACTTCATAATCAAAACAGATGAAAGTATTTAAAATTCGCATTTTATCTGGAATTATACCCTATTTTATGCCAAAAAACTAGCTTAAATGTATATTTAGAAGATAAAATATATTTTAAAGCATATTTTCCTTTAGAAGACAAACACAGTAACCCACCAGAGAAATTCTACTCATCATTTTTTCTTTCTTTTTATTCTTATTGGATGATTTATAATTCTAACATATTTGTTGCACTCCTGACCAAAAGCATTGGGGCCTTTAAAGTAGAATTGTGAAGTGAAAATTACATAAGAACTTGTTCTGTTGTTTCTGTGAAGTTGAGGAGGAATTGCTCGAATTTTATGACAATGTTTTAGTGTGTTTATTTTTAATGTTCATTAAAAAAGTCACAAAAAGAATAAAAACACATCTGAATTGATAAAATTGAAAAAGGAAGGACTCTAATAATAAAACTGTCAATAATTTAGCATTAAATTATACAAAAAGATCATTATTAATTAATGAATACTTCTAAGCATGAATAGAACTCTTTTCGTCACACAACTTGAATCTTTAAAAAAATGTGTTGCACTCCTGACCATAGAAATATGGATCTGAAGCACAGACAGATCCTGTAATTGATAAATCTATTTGGTAAAAATGTTCTTTGTGTCTCTATTTTCCAAAATAAAAATCAGAAAGTCATATAATGATAATAGTTTTTTCATGCTTGGGAGCAAAATATCAAATGTTGCACTCCTGACATTTTGGAGTATGCACATATACTTGACTCTCATTAATGCTGCTTGTGATTTATATAACATTTTTAAGTTTTAAAATGTATATATGTTATTATTTTACACTTCCAAAATTCTTTTTTGTCTTAATTTTCTATTAGAATTTTACAATTGATGTTTTTTTGGCAACACTTCATTTTTTCTCTTGCACTCCTGACATGGTATAACATTTTTTTAAACATCAGCCATGACCACAACCTGATTAAACAAAAGTTACTACAGTCCACATTTAAAGCTCAATACTTTGAATATTATCAGGAAAGTCTTTATTTTCAACATGAAGCATTATTTTTTATTTCACAGATCTCCAAAAAATACTGAAATTTCAAAAAGTCACAAAAAGGTGTTGCACTCCTGACAATTTTAGCATCATTTTTGGGCATAACTTTTTTGTTAATTGAGATATCAACGAGATATTTGGCAGGTATTTAGACACTATCTAAAGACATATGCTGAGACATAGAAATCTATTTTCATTGCCTGTATTTTTAGTGTGGGTTGATAAATATGCGTTTGGTCATTTTTTTTTTTAATTCACCCTTATGAAAAAAATATTTTAAATAATTTATTTGAGCATGAAATAATAAACAGATATATGCATTTTGATTTTAAAAACACAAATTGGTAATAAAATATTGAAGCACCTGTCCTGTATCTAAAAGATGCAAGCAATGCCTGTAGATCTCATTGGCAATGTCCTCGTTCTCCACTCCGCCGTAGTAGACCTCGCCAGAATCGTAAAGCTGTCGGATGAATTCTAAAGCTCTGGCGTGATCTTTATTCTCAATGCACACTAGAACTGATTGGAAAAATTTTACCCAGTTCTCGTCTGTTTCCATGATTTCAAATTAAGTATCCTCTTCTAATCACGCCTTTCTGGCAAGCAATAAATTTTAAGTGGTGATTGCTTTTGAATATATACAAAAAGCATTTTTATTTATTACAATATCTCTGAATTATAAAAATCATTAATTATCTATCACAAAGAAATAAGATTCTCGATCATGATACGCCCATATTCTTGCATGATATAAATTATCTGTTTAATGAGCATTGAAGAAAAGTCCATAAATCTGAGTCCGTTTTTAAATGTCTTTTATAACCAGTATCTATAATGCCTTTAATGGCATAGTTCAAATTTTTAATTTAAGACCAAAAGCTAGATGACACAACTCTTATTCATAACGCTGAAATATCTTAATCTTTTGTTGCATATCTGATTGGATGCTTTTGGAAACGAATAAAACAACTGGCTTTTCAACACTTTGTGAAACTAATTTTCAGTAGTATTGGTAGATTAAAAAACATGCTTTTTGAACATTAAAGACAACTGCTTTTTCAATATAAATGGAACTTTTTTTTATTTTTATATATTCTGAATAGGTAAATTACAAAATTACATTGTCAAGTATCATTCTGATTCTTCCCACAATCCCTGAAAAGAAGATCTTGACACTTTGTCAGAATGGATTAAACTCTCGCATTAAGCGATGGGGGGGGGGCAATATGAAAAACCATCTATCCTTCTGTGTTCAATAATTCAGAAGTGAAAAAAAATTAGATAGACTACATTATCAGTATGTACTGGTCCCAGCTGACAAAGCAGGTAACAACATTGTCTTTGTAAGGCTCATTATTTTAATTGTATTTTAGAAGGGATTTTTGGGGATTTAATTCTACAAAAGACAATCCAACTTTTACTCATGGCTCCCTTTCTAAGAAGGAAATTTTTCAAAATCATATGTCAGCTTTGAATATTTTTAATATTCCCAACAACCAAAATGAATTTGAAATACCATATTTATATTGGATTCCGAAACTTCATAAAAATCCTTACAAACAAAGATATAAAGCTGGTTCCAGTAAACATGTTCTACCAAGCTTCTTTCTTTACCCCTCACTAAAATATTAACAGCAGTGAAGGAGAAACTTCAGGAGTACTGTGCAACAATATATTCGAGAAGTGGTGTAAATCAAATGTGGATACTTAAAAATTCCAAGGATTTGGTAAATTTGAAATCACAATTTGGAAAATTTGAAATCACAAAATTTTACCAAAATCAATAACATTACAACTTATACGATTTTTCAACTCTTTAAACAACCATTCCCAACGATAAATTAAAGTCCAGGCTTTTTGACATCATCGACAGCTGTTTTTTTTTTCAATAAAAAATGGGACTCGTAAATATGCTTACCTTGTCATTGGTCATTTGCAAACTTATTTTGTTAAAAAAACATTCTGATTGTACACACAAGTACTCTGAAGTTGATATTAAAAAGATGCTTGAGTTTCTGATTGACAATATCTGTGGTTTTTGGAGACCGGGTCGAACAATCTATTGGAATCCCCATGGGTACCAATTGCGCCCCGTTGTTAGCAGACCTATTTTGTATTCATATGAAGAAGCATTTATTCAAAATTTTATTTAAAAAAAAAGAAATCTCTTGCTGTGACATTCAACTCGACATTTAGATATATCGACGACGTATTATCAATTAACAAAAGTTATTTCCATTTATATGTCGACACGATATATCTCAGTGAGCTTAAAATAAAAGATACCACAGAGTCTAACACATCTGTATCATAATTGGATATTTTACTAGAAAAAGACGTTTATGGAAATCTAACAACAAAGCTTTATGATAAGCGTGATGACTTTAAATTTTCAATCGTCAACTTTCCTTATTTATGCAGCAATATACCCTTATCACCTGCACATGAGGCGTATATCTCTCAGTTGATTCGATACGTAAGAGCATGCTCCACGTATGAATAATTTCTAAAACGAGGTAAGTTATTGACAAACAAGTTGATGAAACAAGAATATCAACAGTCTCGTTTAAAGTCATCATTTCGTAAGTTCTATGGTCGATACAATGATATTGTAAGATCAGCAAATACAATCTATCATTAAGTCATATGCTGACTAACGTTTTTCATACAAATTATTAGGTCATTATTTACATACTGAATTGTCGACGTAGTTTCCGTTATGTTCACTCCTCCATGGCACCTGATCCCACCTCTAATGATGTTTTTGGAGATCCATGTTTGCTCTGCTCCCGATCTGTATTGTTTTAATGAACTTTGAGCTTAAATACTTTTCGTTATCTCCATATTTCATCAAAAAGATGCTGGCATTCATGATTGACAATATCTATTTAGTCTTTGGAGATCATGTCTTCCATCAATCGGTTGGAATTCCTGAAATTATATTCCTTTGTGATCTGACATGTTTTAATTTTCTTATGAGACATGAATAATTCAAAACCCCTATGAAAAATGTTGCTGTCACCTTCAATTCGACATTTTGATACATCGTTAACATTTTATCAATTTAAAATTATCACTTTTATTTTTTTAAAGATTAGATAAACCCCAGTTATTGAAATCAAAGACATGAGAGATTCTGCAACATTTGCTTCATATTTGGATATTTTTCTGAATATTAACTCAAATGGCAAACAAAAAAGCTGAACCTTATGACAAATGGGATAACTTAGTGCCCATGAAAATCCTCCTCTACCCACCTCCGAGATCCTAACGAGGGACTTCTCGTAGAAAAAACAGCTTTCAGCACAATCCTAATCTACCAACCTACGAGACCCTTACGAACAACTCCTCGTAGAAAAACTGCTTTCAGCACAATCTAAGCATTTTCATGATTCGCTAGAGTTTGTCATAGCTGAATTAAACGCTACTTAATATATAGCGTTCAGATGAACCTTTGCTGCCGAGAATGACGGAAAACCATAAGAGAAGATGGAGAAACAGTGCCAAGATATTTCTGATTCGGCAAAAATACAGACAGAGAATTTGTTGCCTGCTCTTGCTCCCCCACTTTGACATTTTAAAACCCTTGTTTTCTCATTCGGTATAAGTGCATTTATATTCATAACCCCCCGCCCCCCGATCAAAATCTAGGTCAGAGTAACTACATTGTTTCCCATTGTTCTCTTCCCCATATACTATACTTTTGTCTCTGTAAATATCTGATGCCAGGGACAAGCATCTGGATGAAAGTCAAAATATGTTGATTCATTGCAGCGAATATTTTTTGGGGCGACTTTTCTTTTTAAAATATTCGAACAGTGCATACTATTTTTTCAAGATATATTACTTAAGACAGGTACTCTTCACACAATTGCTCTGAAAGATATAGTTCAATTCATGATCAGCAGATACAACATTACAACAAATGTTTAGAATATCGATGTGTATGTTTTATGTTATATATGGAAGAAAACAAAATTAACGTAAAATGATTTTAAGAAAATCATTATATCCCCAGAAATGAACCCCTGTCGATTAAACCCTGTGTTGAACCCCTGGTAATATGAGCCAAGTAGATGGTGCTTTAGCCAATTAGAATTTGATAAAGAGTCACGTGGTTATGTTATTATTGCCAAACATTGATTCGAGGAACACGCTTTTAGACCTTTGGAATTTTAATTGCCCACCGCCTCCCCATTCTCATTTCCACCTATTGTTTTTCATTTGTACTCAGGGTTGAAGTTTTTGATGTGATTCTTATTTTTGTATTATATACAGTGTTACATCCCTTGCATATTGAAGTCTGTGTTCATGATGTATATTTTTTACGAGTTTTTTTGTTAATATCACAATTTTTGAACATCCTTTGTCTTTGGTAATGCCATATGCATATTGGCCATATTTGTCGCCATCTTTTGCTTTTTGTAAGCCGTATACCAATTTTTATAAAGTTTATGTTGTATCTAGTCAGAGCTAAAGTTTTCTTTGTGACCTATTTTCTATGGGGGAAATCAGAACGTATGTGTGCATATCTTGTAAAATGTATATATCTATATGTTCAAAATGTTTGGTATTTGCTGATTTCCCCCCTTGTTTGTAAAACTTATTTTTTTCGTCATTTACTGTATTGAATAAATGACAATTTTCATTCTCACATATAAGTGTCCTGTCGTATTTGAAATAAAATTCGGAGCAAAACAAAGCTGCGGTGAGCTGCTTGTATTAGGAAATAGTGAGAGACATAAATGTAAATAAGAAGTATTCATATTTCTTAGTCAGCTGCCTTCTCAGGCTATGTATGTCATTCTTCGATTGACAATCTTTTCACAAATTCATTACTTTCATAATTATTGTTCGTTAATTATCATACAATTTCTTATGATAGACAATGATAATCATTAATTGTGTGTGTGTGTGTGTGAGAGAGAGAGAGAGGGTGTGTGTGTGTGTTTTCTTCTTTTAATAACTGTTTACTGACAGAATAGTTGTACAACAGCTGCAATCGCAAGTTCTCAGGACTTCCCGACAAGCGGGAAAACAACGAGTTTAGACTGACTTTCTGGTCGCACTTGTGTAGACCTAGGCTATTTGGTCTTGTAATCACAGGTGTGTGCACTGTTTGCTAGTGACGCAATACTAATGACAGTATTTGCTACGGATTGAAGAACTTTTTTTGATAACACGTGCATTTTTTTTTTTACAGATCAGATGAGCACAGTGAAAATTCGATTAAATTAAAAGTCGAATATCTTGGATATGCAATACCCATATCTATTCTTGTTTAGATGTATTGTAAAAAAAAAATGCTATTCATACAATTTTAGAAATTATTAATGCGTACAGTAGTAAAAAAAAACATATATATCTTTAAAGTCATCGATGATACGGGCAACCTCTGAATTGGAGAAGTCCTTGATTTATTCGGGAATCAAATATAATGATAAAAGATATGTGAAAAGGTGGAACAAATTAGTACTTGGCTAAAAGAAAAGAGCATTTTATAAAGAAGAGGAAAATGAGAAAAAAGAGATAGCCCTTATTAACCCTTGTCATGTGAGT